AGGGAGGAGAGATACTTGGTGGATCTGTAGTATCAATAATATAAATCTAAACACACAAAGTCTATATTAAGCAGCAGTAGCAAACCTTGATTACAAGTAGGCCTACAGCATTTTACCATAATAAAACGTCAAGCTTTTGCTCCTTTTCACTCAGCCTATTATGTTTCCCACCTGACCCGGCTTGTAGCAAAAACACATTAGTCAAAGCCTCTCGTCAGCAAGCTGTTCAAATGTCTTACTCCCAGAAATCAAAACTTATCATGAGAGAGGAATAACTCTTTTATTCTTTTAACAACCGAATCTAATTTATATATCTTTCCAACCCTTAGAATATAATGAATTTTGACAAAATATTTCCTGAGAACATGCAACTGATACTTTTTGTTTTGTTTTGACCATGCCCAATTCTATCATCTGGCGCTTTTGTGTTTAGTAATAATAACAAACTGTGCTGCATTTTGGGTTTTGAAATTAGCTGTTAGTCATGCAACTGATACTATTACGTAAGAAACTGCAACAGATAAAACTGTCAAAATGTTGTACATCTGAGCAGCTGGCTAGCTCTACGCATCACTAGACAGACCACTAATCGCTACCTCAGAATTATCGCTACCTCAGAATTATCGCGACCTCAGAATTATCTATCTGCTCAGCGCCTAGTTTTGAGAAATTAGACGTCAAAGATTTTGAGTTTCACTTCATTTCAAGCTTTTTAAAAAAATGCAATTCTTTGAATATCTTGACAATGACTCCGAATAATTTTACAAGTTTGATAAAACAGATAGAACATTTTGTTTCGGACCTCATGGTCTTAGTACAGTAACTCAAAACGGCCAAACAAGTCTGATAGAACATGGTAATTCTGAAGTAGCACAATGACAAAAACAAGTCGTGTTTCTGCTCACCATGATGGGCTTGTTGAAGCTGCTGCCGAGGCCCACCTGCCACAGACAGATGCTGCCCTCCGTGTCGCTGACACAGCACTGGGACAAACACAAGGACATGGTCAACCTTTACAATCGAGTCATTCTGTCCCCG